TCTGCCTCAGTCAGATAAACAGCTGAATTCCTATTAATTAAACAGTATGGTGAGGTTCAAACCTGAACTTTTGCTGCCTATTGATTAGATTGCTTTTAGCAAAGGTAGCATGTTGTTTTACTGGAAAAGCTGGCAGAGTTCTTGGAAAACAGAATATTCACTTGAATTCTTTGTGAATGTTTGGGCTCACTGTATTTGGAAATCTTTCCTGTTTGCAATTATTCATGTGGTTGCCTATGTACTGAAAAATAGTTTACTGTACATTTTGATACTGTTGACTACTTTCTTAGTCTTTTGTGTTTTACTTCAAGCTCCAGCTCTAAATACCCAAAGATACTTAAGAATCTCACTTTTCATTTAAAGGAAATGTTTTCAATCTTTGTGATTGCAGAGGAAAAGCTGAAAAGAGGGAGGAACAAAGCAGAGAAAGTAAACAAAACTCCAAATTTAGCCACTTTCTAACTCTATAGCACAAAAACCACCTGAGAAACCAAAACCAGTGAGTTTGGTGACCAATCTTCTTTAATTCAACTGCAGTTTTGTGTTTCTAAATTTCAAAGCTGAAATGGTATTTCCAATTTCAAAACTAAGGCTATTAAAGGGCTGCTAAAAGGCTACTAAAAGGCTATTTCTATCTTGAAAATATATTTTTTCCACAGCAGAAATTTGAGCAACTACATAGGTCACTATTGAAAGTTTGTGTGAGAGATACTTAGTCCTGTATGCATTTCTAGAGTCATTGCTAGATTAACTATAAGGGCAATTACATAAAGGCTATGTACCTGAGGTGTTGCAGAGACATCTCAACTACCACAGAGAACCAGGACATGAATTTGACATCAGGCCAACACACAGGGCTGTTTACGTTCCCCTGGGATTGGATAACATTTCTGGATAGTCTTACCTGCTTACTGCATTCTTTCTCTCTCCCGTATGACCCAGACCTACTCTGCATGTGCCCGTGAAGCTGTAGACATGTAGCAGTGTCTGAGGCAGCAGGTCTGTTATTTTGTTTTCCCTTTTTCTAAGAGAACAACCCCAGACCAGAGCCAGGCAAAAAGAAAGGGAGCTCTGACTGGGAAGGGCTAGCAGTCAGTTTTCATTAGAGTAGTACTTTTTGGCATAAAATGACTCTCATCAGATAAACAAATGAAGACTAAGGACTGGAAATACCAGATTGCCCATTAATTAAAACAAAGCTCAAGGAATTACTCAGTTATTTCAAGCTAATTGCTCAAATGCCTTTTCCAAGACTTCAGGGGAAATATCCCAGAGCATACTGACTCATTGGAATAAGGAAGTTTATTTCTGATCATGCAGAGATACAAATCTGGCCACATACACAGCAAAATTTCCTTTCATTTCCTTCGTTTAACTTATATTTAATTTTGCTGTCCCATAAACAGTATTTTGCTCAAACAATTCTAAAACAAGGGATTGGTGGGCCTTTCCATGCATGCTGTAGTGTGAAAAGGGTGAACCTAAATAAATCCTGAAAAAACTCTGAAGACCAAAATTGTTTCATGTAGCCTGCTTTAGTCTTTTGTCTGTTTTATTCTACTACGAGTTCTCCCTTACACACCATGGCTATATTTGGCAATAGCTGTAATATAAGAATGCTATGGCCAGCCTATTGAGTTTACTTCTGATATTGTCTAAAAGAAAACCTGGGCTGAGCCTAGTCTTATGTCATCACAATTCAATGTGCATTGAAAGGCCCACCAGTCCCTTGTTGTTAACTGCAATTGATGTCACAATGCTTTCTTTTTTAAGCTGCTCTTTTACCTGAACACTGTGGCCCTGGTGATGGGGAATGGAACCAACTTCATCCACGTCTGGTTTGGGCTGGCCAAGCTGGGCTGCATGGTGGCTTTTCTCAACTTCAATGTCCAGTCTAGATCTCTCCTGCACTGCATTAAGACATATGCAGCAAAAGCACTGGTGATAGGAGAAGGTAAGCTCTGTATTTTGTTTGACTTACTACTGACTTTCTACTGCTTTATGGTTTTTTTTTCAAAAATAAAAGATCAGAGCCATTCAAAGCTGCAAGCACTTCATATATACATATGTTGGCTAAAAAAGAGGGGAAAGAGATAGTCCTGTTTAACTTTCAAGTGTATAAGCACCAAAAATATGTGGAATTAATTAGTACAATAAAAGGCTTAAATCTGACACTCTCCAAGTACTGGACAATGTACCAGCAGAAACAATCATACATCAGTAAGCAAACAGCCTGGGAAGACACTTTAGCATCATCTCATTTCCATTTCTATTTATTGGTTTATGTAGACACAACTCCACCAATTAGAGGAAGACTCAGATTCCCTTTGTTAGTGGTGATTTCCTTCAGCTCAAAATTTTCACGTACAAAGTTATTGTTACTTCAGAACTACTTTAAAGTAGTGATCTCAATGTGGCACTGCTTGGAACAAAGAGTACAGCATGTTGAGCTGCAATTTTGGCCCTCTTCCTGGTATATTATGTAATACTGGGCAAATTATTTAACCTTTCTACTCCTCTTCTCCCACCTTTAATACAGGTTGGCAATAGTTCCAGAAGTCCAAATGAACCCATGAGGGCTCATTAGTTGGTATGTGCACCAAGCTTTATAACATACTGATTAAATTAAATCCTATTAGCATCACCAGGTAAGATCAGGGAGCAAGTTTAACCTGTTACAATTAAAGCCACGTGCGAAGTCTAGGGAGATTAAATATCATGTTTTTTTCTTTTTCATTGTCCAATGGGTGGGTTAGTGCTGCTGAGGGCTGTGCTATGTTCTGTGTATGCAGTGGTAGGGTATATAATTTCAAGAGAAGTAATCAGGTCTCTAGTTGTAATTATTTTAATAATAAGCATATAAATTTTTAACTTGGCAGATTGTTTGGGATCAATAGAGAAAGAATTTATTTTTCATCTCTTGGAAAATAATGTTGCTGTCTGGCTGACGAGTACCAGTTCTCCTTTCCAGCATGTTCACACTATACCAGACAAACTACACAAGGTGCCAGATCACCCTGTTCCATCTCACCTTAAAGTTGTCACTAATACAAGGAACACAGCTATGTATATCTTCACATCGGGAAGTACAGGTGAGGATATGTACTAAGAAAGTACAACTGCAGCTCTCTAAAAATTGAGATAGTATACATTTAGCAACAAAACAGGCACACAAAAAGACAGAACTTGACTTTTATGTCAGGATATGGAGGAATTAATTTAGTTAAATGCATAGTACACTTTAAACCATTTTTGCCTTGGCATAACAACGGCATAATTCCAGTTAGTGAACTTTCACATAAATATTCCATGGCTGAACTTTATTTCTTCAATATATTTCTTCAATATATTTCACAGGTCTATACTAAAAAGAAATACGGCCAGCACAAGTGCTTGGGCCTTGGGAGAAAACTTTTTCTCTGAGACTGGCCTGAATAATGAAGCTTCACCTTACTGCACTGGGAAGGAAAGGGGAATCCTTCCTCTAGGCAAGCCAAACAACTTTGTAAAAGTTATTTCTATTGCAAATAGCAGCTGAGTGGCACAGTGGCTTTTTAGAAACTTTCCCGTTCTCGCTTTGTGACAAGGGAACACTGTGTGCACAGTTGGTCTGCACTTGCCTGCAAAGAGTACGGACTTTCTCCCCTAGACAAAGCAGATGAGAGGATTAAATAGCCTTAGAGGCAAAAATATTGAGGAAGCAGAGATACTAAGGAGATATACTTATGGGATAAAGACTGAAAGACAGGACAGACCAAGACACAGAAGACAATTCTCCCTGTACATTCCAAACATAATTCTGTTTGCAGCAAAATTATTAATGCAAGCAGTATATTTATAATTATTTGCTCTTCTCCCATTGACAGGTTTCCCAAAAGCTGCTATCATCACTCATCTAAGAGCTCCACCTGCCTGCTTAGCATTTACTCACTGTGGTGCAGTTTCTGAGGATATTATGTACCTCACTCTTCCCTTGTACCACATCAGCACTTCTATTCTTGGCACCTGTGGATGCATTGAATTAGGTAATATTTAACTTCTAGGGAAGTTTCATTAACTTGAGAATGCCATAACGTTTTATTATTTGGTGAGTAACTCAAATATTCTGTCTACCAATAGATTTTTGTCATTTTCTCATTTTTATCACCTTCTCCAGTCTGCAAACAATATCTAAGCTATATGCACAGGTTTTGAAGCTTAGAACAGACACCAATTGTATACATCACTCATAACATGACTTGAGGTCAGTGTATTGCTAATACCACTACATATGTTCTGTAGATTTAACATGCAATCATATTTGTATCCTACACCAAAAGTCTAAAAGTGCATCTGAGAAGTCAGTATCAGATTTTCAGTATCACAAGGGACAAATGCATTGTGGAAGCTTTAACTAACTTTCAGAATAAGGTCAACTAAATGTATTTGGAGCTATTTGAGACACATATTTAAGTAACACCTTATTCATGATATTACAGTGAAGGAAAGGAAGAACAATGCGGCCTCCCCTTTTGATTCTGATAATCGGAGTTTATTTGTAGAGGTTTAGCAATCAGGTATTTTTTCACATATGTGCTCCTTTCCTGTCCTTAGAATCTTGCCCAGATGCTGTGTTCTGTATGGTAAGTATATACCTGGACTATTTTAAAAGCCATTTCAGTGCTTTGTTTCTTCAGGAATAGCATGGGCAGGCATGCTGGGCTACAGCAACTGATAACAAGACTGCTGCCGCCTAACAGCACAAAACACAAAGGGGATGGGCAAACCAGTGTATAAAAAGGCTTGAAGCTACGATTTGTCTTGGAACAGAAAAAACCAGGGCAACAGCTTTCTTAGGTGGGCGATTCAGATGGGAACTCTGGGGGGCCTGGGATTCAAATGACAAGGCTTTGAGGTGAGTGAGGCTTAAGAGTTCTGACAGGGCTTCAAGTCTTGCATGAGAACATACCTGGGTCAGGGAGCTCCTGACAAGCAAGGAGCAAATGGACTTGGAAGGCACTGGGAAGCTTTATGTGGGACAAACAGGATTCAGGCAAAAAGAAATTCTGAAAAAGATAGACATAAGGAAATTTGCAAACTCTTGGCTGACAACACTTAGGAAAAACTGTGAAAAAGGCATTGGATGGCAGACATGGGAGGTCTAGGAGGAGGTGGCTTTTGGAATGGAAATCTCTGAAGGAAGTTCAGGGCCACAGAAACAAGAAATTGAGGATGATGAGTTAACAAGAAACAGGAAAAGGGGAGTGAGACAGTAACAATAGAGACTCTCAGGAGGTTTCCCTTCCACCACTTCTCATGCAAATCGGGAAGCTGTGAGCTACCTTCTCCCCCATCCCAAGTTCTCTTTTTTCAGAGTTACACCAGTCGCCATCTTGACAGAAACAAAATGGTTAGGTTTTGACCTATTCCTAATAACTGGAGATGACTAAAAGGTATGCTTCTGATACTGTTAGTTTGTAGTTATTACTCAGAAAAAGAAGCAAGGCTCCATTGTGCTAGTGACTTTTAGCAGAAAGATCTTGCTGAAATAGCTTACAATTTATTTAAATAGCTGCATTTATCATTAGGTGAGTTAGGAGAATGACAACTTCTTTTTTTAACAATAGTAGTAGAATATAAGACAGATTTTAAAGGTTATTTTGAATTTTCTTGTCTGTTTTCATCACCTAGGAGCAACTTGTGTTTTGAAGAAGAAATTTTCTGCAACCCAGTTTTGGAATGACTGTAGAAAATACAATGTTACAATGTTTTTGTTCATAGAAGAACTCTGTAACCAGCCCAGTATAAGTTCTTGTTTGCAAATACAGCTTTAAAATATAGCAAAGCTGTATTTTATAAGTCATATAGATTTACCCATTTCTGAATGGCATAGTATTTTTAATGTTTAATAGGTTTTTTTCTCAGTGTATACAAAATGTGGGTCTCGTGTTCCTTGTTGTTCTATGATAGTAATCAAGTTTATATCAGTAAATATTATGGTTTCACAGAAACAAGCCTGGCAGGATGGGACAGTTATGCCCAGACACTAACATAAATTCCTCTGTTAAGCCAAGCTCATTAGCTTCTCATCTGAGTGACAGGCAAGTGGCAAGTCAGTAAGGAAAAGGTATAAGCAGTAATAGCTTTATGACTATTTTGGACTCCGTGATCAAATGAGAGCATAAACCAGATTAAATTGTTAACCACGTGAACTGCACTGTTCCAGAGTAGTTACATACTAAAAGAAGGCTACTGTATTCAGTATTTAATGGCTGACAATTAATTTTTGTATGGCTTTGAAACCACTGAATGCATTTTGTTTGTTTACATTTTTTTCTGAAGAGGTGTTCCTAAGGCATATTTTGTTCCACGGCTGTGTATATGGTGATAAACTTATCTGTATAAAGCCATAGTACTAATAGCATGGTGCAAAATCTTGTTCACCCCTGGAATAACAGTCCTGAAGAACATGGGAGCTAAATCATGATCAGATTTAGGGCAAAAGTAACATGTCACCAAACACAGCAGCAGCAGAAAAGCAAGCCTGAAAATATTGATTATATTGCAACGCTTGTTTCTTGATGATGGTGGAAAAGATTGGTTAATTTTCTTAATTTTATACTTGGCAGTTAGGAAGTTACTGAAGGGGGGTGACAAGAACTATTTCTACCTACCACAGAAAACATCATGTACAAGCACAAGGTTCAAATGACCTCCAACTGCATTGGTCAGAGATTGGAGCAAGAACTAGCAACAACAGAACATCTGCGAGAATCCATCAGCTTGTTTGAACAGATTTCTTATTGTATGGTCAGGACGTAGGAGAGGAGTCAAAGACAAAAAAGTATTAGAGGGAACAAGCCAGGAAAGCTGTTGGCCAGAACTCAAGTCTGTACAAACATTATGTCAGTAGTCCACAGAACAAAAAACCAAAGGAATAATTAGCTAGGCCAAACTCGTGTAGTCTCTCCTGCAGGAAAAAGCAGGAAGAACTTTCTTTACTTGGCTCAATTACAAGAATTTAACGGAGAACATGCTGATATTTAACTGGCAACTGGTAAGAAGACAGAAAACAGATAGCCTAGCTGAGTTAAGGAAGTTGAGGATGGCAACAGAAGTGGATCAGGATAAATGCAGAGTCCTGTCATGCTCAGGTATCTTAGCCAAGTATAATACACATAACCTCCAATATGCCACACAGGTTCTTCTACAGCGAAAGAAACCTGAGCAGGCTAATAAGCCAGCCAGCTATGTTTCACACCTAGACTCCTTGTGCTATGGCATGCCAGAGCACAGCAGTGCTGGTGTAGCCCAGGACTAGGGCTAACTAGATGAGTGACCTATTGGAATATACTGTAGGTCATATCCAGGATGTCTGCCCTTACCTCCTTTCACAGAGCATGCCAGGTCTCACACTGAAATTGAGAAGGAATATGGATTTGGAAACTAGGAGGCACTCCTGGATTTCCTGATGTAGATGGAGACTCTAGACACTACTCTCTGACAAAATATGTCTCTAAGAAGCTTACCCAGCATCCATGTACCTGCTGGAACTAAATTCTAAACACGGTACCCCATTGAAAGTAATGAACAAAACATAATGCATGTCAAGGAATGTTTTTAAAGACAACCATACAACTTTTAAAATAAAGATATTTTAAAATTCAAGGTAATGCAAGGAAGTCCTGCATGTCATTATTCCAGGGTTGAAACAAGGTAAGTGTAATGGTTTCTCCTATGCTTATAATCTCTGAAGCTCCTGAGAGATTTGCTCCAAGTCCTAGAGTCTCACCAACTGGTTTTGGGTGGGTTTTTTGTTTGTTTGGGGTTTTTTTTTTTGGGAGGGTGGGGGGAGTGGGGTGTGGAAATTCCATTATTTCATCCTGAAGAACAAGTGCTGAAGAAGGGATATTAGGCATGAAGTAACTCTCCCAAACAGCCTACCAACTGGTTCATAATTGGGTTTGATCACATACACGTGAGCAAACTATGCTATTACATCAGATTTACCATTAAAACTGCAAAAGAAAACAGCTTGTCAAGCAGAAGCAGGGAAGTCTCCAACCCTGTTTTTAACAAGTGGAGTTTAGTCTGTATTACAGCTGGTCCTATTGTGGCAAATAATTTATCTGCCGTAAAATGCAGTTCTGGATCCAATGAAATTGTCTGTTAATCCAGAGTTCACAAAATAATTCTATGTGAATATTTCTAAAAGTGAAAAAGTTGAAACATTGATTCTGCTAAAATATTTCCATGTAATTCTTAGGCAATGTTCCATTTTGAAATTCCCTTAATATTATTCAGAAATCAAATATATTTTTACAATTTTTCAAGTTTAAAATAACACTGAAATTGAAACAAAATGCATTGATTCAGTTTGAAGAAACTGTTCCTGTAGACCTGAAATAATTTATCTGCTGTCATTCAGCCATGGCAGTAACTTAACCACACAATCCCAAACACATCTCCAGAAAAAGTGTGGCTTTTTCATAGGCAGAGTCTTGACTATAGTCCTATACATAGGGTGCTGAGCAGTCTGGCCCAATGCAGAAAACATTTACAAAAGTACTCATTTGGGTAGTTGGCCACAATCATGACATAATTGATATGTAACAATGACACATTAACAACTACATTTTGACTGCAGATTTGATTACCATCTTTTCTGAATTTGGATTTAAGACTAAAACCTGCACCTAATCATATGAGATAGATATAGTAATGAGCTTTAAGTCAGTCTGCTACTTTTTCAGGTTCCTTAGGTAACATGGCAGATGTGTAAAATTTTCTATCAAATATCATTACATGTAGGACTGACCAGAGCGTGTCACAAGTGTTTTCTAGAACACGATTTTATTTATGCAGAAAAATTCCTTTCTTTGGTTCAGAAAGTCATTTCCATTCTATGGGAAATGGCACTCAGTAAAAACTTATTTATTTACATTTTCAAGATAAAATAATCCTTTTAAACTTTGTAATTTAGATCTCAGTGATAGAATTTGTAAGTGAAAATACAAAGAAGTACAGAAATAAAATTTTCACCATACAAAAATCCTTCAACCTTAGACCAGCAAGAATTCTGATGATTTTCTGTTTGAATTTTACAAAAAGAATGCCCTTCTGTGAAATATTTTAGTCAAAGTGGCAGTTTTGTTTTAGGAAAGGAAAATGGCTTTATTATAAAATTCTAGATCAACTCTGGGTATTTAGATCTACTTTTCTCAGCTTCAGAATGTTTCTTTTTGGCTGTTTACAGAAAGAAGAGGACAGAGTTCACAAAGTGTGCATTGTTGTAGGAAATGGTATCAGACCTGCTGCCTGGAAAAAATTTCTGATGCGGTTTGGCCCAATTAAAATACTTGAATTCTACGGATCCACAGAAGGGAATCTCAGTTTCTTGAACTATACTAATAAAATAGGAGCTGTGGGCTGGCATCTTCTCAAAGGTAAATGTAATCAAGTCAACCAAACAATTAACCAGCCAATGAAAAAAAAAAAACAGATGAAAGACAGAAATTATAAAGAGCAGGGAAATGTACAAGGAAGAACCTTCTTACTATAGTCCAGATGTAGCAAAATGTGGTGGTTCATGGAAAGAGAAACCTTATTCTTAGCCCCTTACTTGACTCTATTGTCTGTATATATATTGTGAAGCTAGAATAAATATACAGAACAAGTCCACAGAAGCTGAAACTACTGCTTCATTATCCAACTTTTTTCCCAGAATATAAAAACAAAGATCTGACTGTTTAGAAGTGCCTATCCACAGGACTGATTAATGATTTGGGTTTTTGGTGAAGTTTACTTATCATCCTGAAAACCCACAGATATTAAGTGATGAGGCAGAAATCAGATTTGATTTTACTTTTGATATGAATCAGAAGATATATGTTAATTTGGATTTTTTTGTCAGAGAATCTTCTTGATTAGCATTCCAGTAATGTTAAGCCTCTACTTAGAAAAGGATGGTAGTTTTAAAGCAAAATTGCCAATTTGCTCAAAAGCACTGTTTCACTTTATATAAATGATTTGAATCTGACCATACTCTAAACCAATGGACTTCTTTTTATCGATAACGGAGAAGAACACTTCATCTGTAAATATACAGTGTTGCTTACCATGATATGAACACTTCCTGACAATTGCTTCTCAGAATACCGTTAGTATACTTCAGTTCCAAATCTTCCAAAGTCAATAGGGTACTATCCATTAATTCAAAGGAATTTTTATCAGAACAACTCTAAAGTGAGTAAGACAGCGAGGTTCTTAATTATGTATATTCATTTTTTCTATTTAGTTCCTACATTCTTTTGAGTTGCTGAAATATGATGTCTGGAAACAAGAACTTATGAAGGATGAAAATGGAAGGTGTAAGAAAGCATCCAGAGGTAAGGAAAAATATTAGTTATCTATTAACTAACAGATACCTCAATTTAGATGGTGATATTTTGGGGCAGGGATTAACACTCTGTTCTGTGAGCAACAGGTTCTTGACATACACTTAGAACTTGAAAATGACACAGGAAAATATGTTATCAATAGATCCCACATAACATATCCAGATATTCATAATATACCCAAATATCCAAAAATACAATAAGAACATAATCAATATTCTGGGCGCAGAATGTTTTTATTCTCACCTGAAAAAACTTGTTCGTATTCCTGAATACATGAGATTTCCTAGTGCTGCTTTTTTTCCAAATAAAGTGGACACAGTAATTCCTAGATATGCTGTGTCCTAAGACCAGAAGACCAGATGTTTACAGATGCTTTCTAATTTCCAAATTTAACATTCTAAGAAAGAGCAGTACCATTTCAAAATCTGGATAATATTTTTCAAATTTTTACATTTAGTGACTCAAATAGATTTAACTATTTAGTACCTAGAGTTGCACAGAATCTCCAAACTCCTACTTGGAATGCTCCTAGTCAAAGAGCTGAAGCTCACAGGCTGAAAACAGGACAGCCTCACAGTGAGAATGTCTTTGAGAATAATCCTGAAAACTCACTCCTACAAAAGACACAGCACTGCATTTTACTAAAGTGACATTAAAGATCTATGTCTGTGTACACTCGCATGAATCTGTGTGTGTCTAAGTTAACAGTTCTGGGAAAAAAGTCTTTAACATCACTGCAGACATGCAGCTATGAAGAAAATTATTTGTCTGAAAACATATCCATACATCTGTTGAAGGAAAAACAATAAAAATCTCTACAAGATGGAATGTCTTTTAACATCAGGAACAGACAGAGAAATAAGTCAGCACTCACCACAGATATAGAATAAGAAAAAAGCATTTCAAAAGGGTATTCTGAGCCTACTCCAGTGAAGTCAATGGAAATTTTGCCCTTGATATAAATGGGACTTATACAGTCAGCAAGACAGGGTGATGCCCAGCAGGGATATGGGGCAGATTCCAGAGACTCCTTGAAGTTTGGAGGCCTAGGCATATTATGGCCTACAACAAGTGTTTCCACACCAGCACGGTGCTGGTAGCAGCAGCAACCCTGTCCTCCAGAAAAACATAAAAAACAAGAGGTTAGGCACTGTTTTGCCCCTGGGTGTATTGTTTGACTACCAGCAGCCTTTTCAAATGACAGAATAGTCATCCTTTCACTGGGCAAATGCTTTTTCAGGGTAAGTGATGTACACTGTACTCCAAAAAGAATGTCCCTAAGTCTAGCTTTTCAGACGTAAAGGAAGCAAAACTATGCTCCCTCTTCCACCCACCTATTTCTGCTGTTCAGGAAAAAGTTATGGAGATGTAGCAATAAGATGAGTAGAACAGATGTGGCTTTCAAAAAGGTTTTTAATATGATACTTTATGTTCTAAATATCTCACTGTAAATACATTTTTTTGCATCCCCTTTTTATGGCCTGCAGGTAAACCTGGTCTTCTAGTTGTCCAAGTTACTCAGGATGCCCCATTTTCTGGATATGCTGGAAATAATGAAGCCTCAGAGAATAAACTCCGGCGTAACGTGTTTGTGAAAGGAGATGTGTATTTTAACACAGGAGACCTCCTAATAATGGATGAGGATGGCTTCCTCTACTTCACTGACAGGGTGGGAGACAATTTCAGGTATAGTACAGAGTTAACAGTAAATCCCATGAGCTTGGAAGAAATCATACTTATGCAGGACTGGATGACACAGGTCAGACTCGAACCTGATGAATATAAATTTTGGTTTAACAGAAACATTAACAATCACAATCAAAGTCCACCAAAGTTCACACCAACACAGGAGAATTGTTCAAATTTGAGTCACATGGCACTTCATTTTCTTTTAAGTTTGGGATCTCAAATGAGATGGCACTAAATCAGAAAAGGATTTATCTGTCTACACTCTTCAGTTAAGAATAACAGTAGTCCATACTAAAAGTCCTGCTCCATCACATATAGCCACGTATAGAATAAAAATTTGTTAGCTAATATCTACATTATTTTAAAAAATATTTTCAACAGGTGGAAAGGAGAAAATGTTGCCACTGTAGAAGTTGTGGAGATCATTAGTATGATGGATTTTGTCCAAGAAGTTAATGTTTATGGTGTAAGCATAAAAAGTAAGACATTCCCTCTATCCTTACTGTTCTTGCAACAGAATGCATACTTATATGTAAGGAAATAAACAGTGTCAACTCAACTTTCCTACAGTGCTTTGAAATTTCAGTTTCAATAAAATGCTGTATTTAATAAACATGACATGCTGAAATTTTGTAATGAATGGCAGAAAGACCAGGATGAATTTAAACTCATAACACAGATGTGAGAAGTACACTCAGCAATGCTTATGCAATGTACAATAGCCACCAGAATTTATATAGACCAAATACAGTCTCATTGTCTATGTCCATCTTTTGCACTAGTTTTTGTGGAAATGCATTCAGCTTTTTATTGAACTAACGGTCACTCTGATTTCATCAGGCCACTATGTAACTAATGTAAAGACTGAGCAAGGTAGGAAGAAAACCTAGCAGCCAGCTGCCAGCCATACAGAATTCCTAATAAAAAGAGGTCGGTGACATTTGTTTAACTGAATAAAAACACTGAAAGTAACTTTAAGTCTTCCAATATAAAGTATCGTGTATCTTCTACTCAGTGATGTCTGAGAGGATAGGGCAGATATTTCACAATATCAAAATATTTGCTCTGACCAATAGTAAGCCCATCGAAATGCCATACAAGACTCACATACACTCTTGTAATAATATTTTTCGTTCTTTTTTTAGACTATGAAGGAAGAATAGGAATGGCAGTTTATTGTGCTTAAACCCGACCAATGGGTTTATTGTGCTTAAACCCGACCAACCCTTTAATGGAGAAAGACTTTATCAGCATGTTGTAGACTTCCTTCCAAGTTATGCCCAACCACACTTTGTCAGAATCACAGTAAGACAATCAGTTGCTTCCTATTTGTATTTATCATCTGTCTGACCTGAAAATTGGTCTTTACCATCATGGAATGCAGAAAGTAACTTCCAAACAGTTTCAAGAATTGAAGCACAAAAGGTAATACTAGTCTGAATTATTGTTGCTATTATAAAGTTAAGCAAATATTTGATGAATTAAACTTGCTTTAAGTATCCATTCATACCTAAAAATCATAGATGTGATTAATAACTTAGCAAAGTTTGATTTTGTTCTAAAGCTCTTCATCTTTAACTAGTGTGTTCTTCCAGCCCATGGAAGACCAAGCAGATGCACATGGGTAATAGTACACATAATAGTGTCCTCTTATAAAAGGATGACATTATCCATTTAAAACGTTTTCCTAATATGGTTGTTCTTGAAGTGATTATTATTCACTGTTACTGACAAAGCATCAAAGAACTATCTAGTTCTTTGCTACAGATAGTAAGAGAGATATTTTACAGTGAACATCTCATAATCTGAGAACTAAAATGTACCCACATGCTTTAGAGTATAAAAGCAGAACTGGGATACAATTCTTTTTAAACGTGCACCTTAAAAGTGCATGGGTTACACTCCTTGTGTAATGCCCATAGGATGACCTTCTGCAACAGGACAGAAGAGCATGAATTGCAAAGAGCAGGAAAGGGACCCACATTACATGTTCTGAAAGTTTGTAGCAGATGTTTTTCTGCTGTTAAAGGATGCTGAGAGGCATTCAGCAGTTTTGCCTCTCCCTAAATATTGACAAATTGTCTGAAAGGCACAAATTTGATTGAGAACAAGATGGGAACATAACAGAGTGACTGAGACTGGACAGGAGGAGGAGAAAAAGAATGTATACATCTAGATAGAAGTGTAATTTTTAAGAGAGTTTAAAGAATTGAGGAAAGCTATTTTTTCACTAATAGGTTATTGTCTTAAGTAAACTACCTTCAAATGCAATTAGCATGCGTTATACTACCTACGGTGCCTCAGGACAGCAGTGCCCTCTGCTGGGAAACACCTTTGGAACAGGCTTGTCTTTATGGTTCCATTAGATGGAGAAAATCTGTACAGAGTTCCAGCATCTATATATGTGGAACTGATTAAACCTGTTTGCATTTATGGCATTTATGTAGTCTCTGACTAAGGCTTTTTTTTTTTTTTTTTTCCAGCTGACTGAAGGCAACTTACTACCAAAGATACTATCAATACTAATTAATGAATATTTACACATATGTAAAATCTTGTTAAAGGAGATAAAACCAATTTTATTAAAAATATCAAAATGCTAAACCCCATGTTGTTACTTTAAAAAAACATCTTAGAGGAGGATAATAGCATGAATGCTGAACTCACTCTCTTCTAAGTGGACAGAAAATTAAGTCCCTTCTGAGGAAAAAAAGATGTGTCTTGAGAAAGAGTTCATCCTAATCAAGAGTGACAAACAGAAATATGAAAATCTCATGCACAATTGGATTTAAGATAAAATAAATCTTGAAAATTTTTCAGCAGTTCATATGTAGACTCTTTCTAATATGACTTGCAAGCATGGTTGACTGATTTTGTGAAAACCAGACAGACTGAGAGTTATTCTTCTCAACCTCTCTAACCTGACTGCAGAAGAAGAGCAGAGGCCCAGGGACAATGATAGAAAAGAACCAGGGTATTCCAAGGATCTGAGATAGTAGTTTTTTCACTTGAGTTTTGCTAACTTCATTTCTTGTTTGCAGAAAGACATTAAGAAGAGGTTTCTAAGAGCACCCAGGCAGTGATTTCAGTTTTGCATTATTTGTACTCTGTTTTGTTTTGGGGTTTTTGGTTTTGGTTGTTTTGTGGGTTTTTTTTTCCAAAAATCTTATTTCCATGTAGAAAAAAATGACTTTATTAAAATAACATCAGGGGATCATTTAAAAAGAAAATCTCAGCAATCTGTATTCATAATACACACTTATAATATTTAATACCTGTCTTCATTAAACTTTTAATCTTGTCATTGCAACTTTTTAAATAATTACCAAGACAAATTCATGCTAGCTATTCAATTTAAAGCAATCCTGCTTGGTAATGATTGAACATTATTACAATCCGGCAGCTATTCTGTGTGAAATGACTTGATGGTCTAAGTGTGGTTCCTATCATAAGTGCTGCCAAGAGAGAAAATGAACTGGCAAACTTCTCAACTTCTTAGAAGCCAAAGACTAAATGATCTTTGGAAATGGAGTAGCAGTGTGAAGAGGAAATCAGGCATGCTGCAGATCAAGAGAGAAAAGCAAGCAGGAACTAAAAAGTGGCCTGTTTCAGCATGAGAACTAAAAGAAAATGTTGGCTACATTGAAAACACTGTACAAGTAATAACAATGCTTGAGAACGCTGTATTTTAAACTTTTCCCTTAATGTGAGCCACATTTTAAATGAGATTATTTTATATACCACTTCTGTTCTCATACAGTCATTACTGTGTGCAGACCAACTTGTTCCTGAATTGGCTTTTGAATAACTGCTGTACAGCAACTGTTTACACAGACAAATATTACAGGAAGGCATTTAACATATTTGTATGTAATTTCTTAAATGAAGTTTAGCAGTTGGAAATCAGAGGAGGGCCAGTACCATCAAATCAGCCAGCTCTCTGCAGAGGATCACCAAGTGTCCCATTAACTAGAGATTTTGTGATCAGCTGCACTAATGAAAGTTAAAGAAAATACTTATTTTGAAACAGAAACTTGCAAGCTTGCATGTGGCTTTGATAAAGAAATTAGTAAGAAATAAAAGCTGCATTTAGATTTAAAATTTCACTGCACCTGTGAATCAGATCATGCTAACTGAAGACAGTCTATAGTAAAATTGTATGGTCCATTTTATTCAGTAATTGCATCATATTTTCACTGATATAGGCTGAAGTGGAATATTGCACTTTACTTGAATTATTTCTTTTTTAGGATGTTATGCAACTTACTGCAATTTTAAAGCATCAGAAAATGCATCTGGTGAATGAAGGATTTAATCCAGAAATTGTATCTGAACCTCTGTATTTCATGCACGAACCTGTACATTTCTGTATTCCTTTGACAAGAGAGATATACAAGAACGTGGTTTCTGGTGAAATACATTTAGAAAGCATACATTAAAAGTCAATTTCAAATATACTCCTGCAATTATTTCAACAAAAGCCAGTATGCAGTATTTGTTCTAAAACCATAAGATAATCAAATTAGTCTTCCTGTGATAGAATTTATTTGTTCATACAACAGAGCCACAATAGTTATACACATTGTGTAAGCTGCACTGCACCTGCTCATATTAGTTCCAGGGGTCACACATGCAAACTTTTATTTTAAATTTCTCACTGACTCAAAGCAACCAGTATCTTAACTTAGTTGAATATTTTACTCCTTTAGATCATAATACTGATTCCGCTTTTAGAATACATAAATGATTAGATGAATAATGTCATAGGCATTAATAAAATATAAAATGGGTGGTCAGAAACATAAGCAAAATACTGCACAAGCACTGCATGTAGAGTTCAGTTCAATGTTTGTTAGTTACATTATGTAATATTTAACTGTAATATTTTATGTGATGCTCAGTTTCAGATTTTTATGGAAAATAAACATTCAATGTCAAAATACAGTTGTATTTAGTAGTCATTATTTCTCACAACTTACACCAGAACTAACACAGATTAAACTATTTGCAAAAATTCATCCCTGCTGGCACATGACCTCTTCCTTTACTTATCAATTGGCATATTGCTGAAACAGAATTCTCATGAAAAAAGGACAAAACAACTGAACACCTAAAACCTGTTAAAACGTGCTATAAAGTTTCATAGGCAGAAGCAGATCAGAGAACATAATATTAGCACACCTGTTGGATACACTTTCCTTGACTGTACATATCTAATTACATTTAAAAATCACACAAGTACACACTTATGTGAGGGAAAACCTCTCTACTGTACATTTCCCTGAATTCATATGATCTTTTGTCTGGATGAATAAATAGCTATTGTATTAAGCTAATTCATGTCCCATTTGGAGCACATTTTACAGAATTGCATGGTTTGCTTTTTCCCAAACGTGAGACTTGTTTTTTCCTGGTTTTCAATACGTGCTATTACTACCACTGCTAATATTGCTACTACTGCTATAATGCATTGACACATGGTAACTGACCAAACGCTATTGGTCTACTGCAGAAGCACAGAACAGAAGCCGGCTGCACCCCACAAAAGTTCATTATCTAACATAAGAAACAATTTAACTAACAAACAAACTCAGTTATGATCATAAAGGCCTGTAACCCTTGATGATGCAGTGTACCTCTCAAGATCCATCATGGTGCCTCTGCCATTCCAAGTTACGAGAAGTGTGCGTGACAAGACCTAACATCGCCACTGGAAAAGGGCTGTTTGAGATCTAGAAGCTAGTAAATAAAACAAGTGTACAGAACTGTAAAGCATACTATATCAAGCATACGACATATACCTATGGCACATTGACATCTCCCATGACACAGGGTTTCTGAGCTTGGAGTGACACAAGCAGAGCTCTATGAAAAAAACCAGTCTCCCAAGTTCTTACTCTTAAGAATTGGCTGTCTGTGGACTAGGAAGAATACCGAGCTCAATACGGGTTTGAGGAGGGCCCAAGGAATTCCAGTGGTCTCATCTTATAAGCTGACACTTTACATCCAAAACACCAACAATTTTCAGATCATAGCATGGTACTGAGACAGCTCTGAACTGACTACTGTAAACAAAATATTTGTATTTTTCCTGCCATCTAAATTTTTATATAAATACACACACATGCACCCCCTAAACATGTATACCATTAAGCTTTATAAGGACTATCCCTATATAACTGCTGCTACCAATACAATCAATTAAGCTTGCAACATTTAGAGAGCTCCCAAAAGCTCAGCCAAAAGCCTGGTCACCTATCTGGCTTTATTTTTATTATGGAGATTTACTACAGAACACTGTCTGTCTGTCTGTCTCTTATTTTCTCCTTTCTCCCTTACCCTTTTACTCTGTACATTCAATTCCTTCCCAACATTCATTCTTCAGAAAAAGTTAAAATAATGAAGAGCACAAGACAGCAATTCTATCCCTAGCTGCACAATTAAGTCAGTAGCTTATTCACTTGCACATAAGCCAACCAGAAAAAATTTACATAATAGAAATGACAATAGGCATAAAATATAACTGGAAGTATTCATACAATGTATCAAGGGAATGTTTCACATAGAGACACGTGAAGCCCTATAACTTATTCGTAGCCTGATTTTAAAAGAACATTAACATTTATTACATTTTCCATATAAACTTGCTATCATTATTCATATCAACTTGCTATTGTCATTTACTGATCTCAAGAAAAATACTTCAAGGTCTACAGGTGACAGTCATTTTTAGAAAGTAGGCATCATTTTGTGTTTATGAAGCTATTGAAAAAGCTTCTATTATAATACAGTTTTGTAGATATAATACGTAATAATGCACTTAAATGATAAATACTGCACCTAATGTAGCATACTGCTTTCAATGAACTATGCTGCACATTAAATCAAGTGAAACAAATTGCCATCACAATAAGTTTATATTAACTATAAAAGATATTTAAACGTAATATTAGAAGCTTTTAGCTTAATTTTCAATACATTGTAATCAAGAACCCCAAACTATATACACTTTTTGTAAAATATATTTTTCCATGTATCCTCTCTAATGAAATAAAGAAAATCTCTCCAGTAATTGAGAACAATTATGTAAACAGATAAAGGCATAATATTAGTGCCAGGGGGAGTGATACTTAGAAAGGTTAGATGTCACATGACACCAAGGTATGCTAATGGCAGTACAAAATCAATGTGGACAAAGTCTTTAACAAGCATTATAAAAGACATAAGCTGCTATCGAGTCCCTACATTCATATAGTATAACCTTAAAAGGAGAGCATTAATTGTAAGCTCTCCACAGCAAAGATAATTTTATTCTGCTTTGAGAGTCTTTCTGAGGGTCATAGAACCCTTCAAAACAGACTTTTGTTTCATAAACAAATCTTTTTTTATATCACTATGTCATAGATAATTTCTAATCTTTTATAATAATTTGTTGCAAAGTAATTAAAAGGTATTTAATTTCAAAACTAAAACATCATCTACTGAAAGAAATTACTATAATAGTAGTAAGAAATCACAAAACTAATTTCAAAGCTTGTTTCAGCAGGCATGTAGACATTACATGTAATTATATACTATGTGGGTAAAGAGTGCTACCAATACATTCAGTCATTTCAGGCACCACAAGATGGTAGCATTTCTGAACATTACTAGTATTCGCTTTCTCCTCTTGTGTTTCAACACAGAGAATTTCACAAACCAGCAGAAATCTGACTTTTAATCACAAAATACTTGAGGTTGGAGGGGACCTCTGGAGGTCTTCTGGTCCAACCCCTCTACTCTAGCAGACACCTAGAGCCAGCTGCCCAGATGGCTTTTGAGTATCTCTGAGGAAGGAGACTCCACACCTCTCTGGGCAATCTGTACCAGTGCTCAGTCATCCTCACAGTAAAAATCTTTTTCCTGATATTAAAACTTTTTCCTGTTGTTCAGGAGGAATGTACTGTGTTTCAGTTTGTGCCCATTGCTTCTTCTCCTGTCACCGGGCACCACTGGAAACAGCCTGGCTCTGTCATCTTTACACCCTGCCTTCAGGTATTTGCACACAGTGATGAGATCCCACTTGAGCCTTTTCTTCTCAAACACAACAAGAAAGCCTACAGATGGTGGAAGCAAGGGCTGGTAGCCTGGGAGGAATACAGAGAAACTGTTCAAGCAGCCAGGGATCAGGTTAGGAAAGCCAAAGCCCTGATAGAATTAAATCTGGCCAGTGATACCAAGGACAACAAGAAAAGTTTCTATAGGTATGTTAGCGATAAAAGGAGAATGAAGGAAAATGTGGGTCCCCTACAGAATGAAACAGGCGACCTGGTTACCCAGG